ATAATATGTTAGTAAATACACAATTACTGAGTCTTAAAATCTTTTTATTTTCATAGTCATAGATCTCGATGTCGAGATGATCAATCAATGGGTTTTTCAACATTAAAACTACATTTTCCGATGGATTTTTTATGGGCATCCGTAGTTCTACATTATAAGGTCGCATACTTATATAAACGTTTGTAAGGGGTGCATTTTGTATACAGCTAAGGCTCTAAACCATTAAAGTAAAGCGCACCTTCAAATAGTTACGAGAAATATGGTTCCAATACTGGACATCTTTGTGATAGCCTTAAAATATCTTTTCATCTTTAATGATATAATTTAAAGCTTAAAAAATAGTGTAGATCAAGCAGAAATATGAAAGCTTGATAATTGACTGTCCAAAAATGTGTTACAAGATGCACTATTTCCAAAACTTGAAATCTATTTTTCTCTCATGTCCATGCATCTTGATGTGTAGATGATCAATTTCAGGATATTTGGGTGTCAAAACAACCTCTTCTAGTAAATTTTTTTAGGTGGGCTCTAATTTGATTGTTTAGAGCCTCGGCTCTATATAATTTTTTTCCTTATATAAAGTATCAATCTTACCATGCAGTCAACAAGTAATCTTTATGTAAAGTATCAATCTTACCATGCAGTCAATACTTAAAGTACACCTTAAAAAATTTCTACCTAAAGATTATTCTAGGCATAAAAAAGACTCTACAGTTGATTATCGCGACTCCAAGATGTAAGAAAATAAATAAAAGGCTATCAGATCCCATAAGTAGTGTATATTAAACTACATTATCTAAACCATCTATTTTCAAAAATTTTAAATACTTATAAATTTGTTTTATCCACGACAATTAGGGGCGAAACTAGATTTTAAGCCAATATAGGGATGGGAGGGTTGACTGACCGGGTTTGTGTCTTGACTTGGACAATGGACCCCATGAGTTGGATCTATGTCAACTCGACCCAACCTAGGTTGGGTAACTCGAGGCTTATAAAGGACATATAAATGTCCTTACGGAAAATTATAAAAAAAATCTCAAAACTATACTTTCTGTACGACTTACTTTCAACCTATTTTTTTTTCTTACTTTTTTCTCCAAAATACACTTTCTAACCAATAAATAAATAAAAAATACCTAAACTACCCTCTTTTACTTTTACCTTATGCAAACCTCTCCCCTCAATCCCACCAAAATAGGGCTCCAGCACTGTGCAAATGCGGTCCGACAGTAGATCAAGCGCTCTAGCACTGTGTAAGTGCGGTTCAGCAGTGGAATGCTCTGGAGTAACATGGCCCCGTGTAAATGTGGTCCGGCAATGGAACACTCTGGAATCATAGGGCTCTGGAACTGTGTAAGTGCAGTCCGACAGTAAATGTTCTAGAGTTACAGGGCTTCGGCAATTGCAAAGGCAATCCGGCAGTAGAACTTTTGGAGTAACTGGCAGTTGCAAAGGGCGGTCTAGGTAATACTCAGCTTCTGTCCAGGTAGTACTCAGTTTTGGTTCGGTAATGTGATGGTGGACTCTGGCAATGTACTACTGGGGTTCGAAAATCAACTGGGGTTCGAAAGTCAACGTCAAATCCGGCCAAATTGATATTTTTGTACAGGAAGGGCATTTTTCATCTAAAGTGTAGTCTTGAAAGTTTTTTATAATTTTCCCAATATATAATAAGTTTTAAAATATATAGTTATTTTACAACCCAAATGATTATGATTATGACATATTATTGAAAATGTAACATATATGTTACAATTTATTTTTATTTTTATGTCGAAACCCAACCAGACCTATCTGGGTCCAATTGACTTGAACCCAACTCAATCTAGGTCCGACTTATTTACACAAAATTTAGAAGCACACCTTACTTTAATTGTTTAAAGTCAATAGAAACCAAACCTTTCAAGAATATTTTATTTATTCCATCCCCACTAATAAAAATGGATTACTGAAAAAATTTATTTTAAAAGGTAAAAATAATAAATGCCCATAAATATTAGTAAAATTGTTTCATGTAGGTCAAACCGCATTTTTATATATGCAATCCAAAAAGTGTAAAGCAACCATCTTCCATCTGAAAACAATAAAAACTAAGGGTCCAAATGACAAGAACCATTATTTTTTGTTTTTAATTTTTATTTATTTATTCATATTCTTGATCTCCATGTTAGAGATTACATGCTCTTAAAAATTAAGACTTAAAATCCATCTCAAAAATAGATCTATCAAGAGGCCCGCATTTCTACATATTCGAGCTTAGCATCGGTCTAAATATTATCCTCGCTCTTTTGAAGTAACTTCAAACCCTTTGGTTTCGAGATTATATACCATGTGATCATTCACATCTATTACTAACTATTAAATGTCATATTACGAAATTTAATTTTTTTTTTTTAATTTTAAGTCTAATCATAGTTCGAGATGTATTATGAAATTCGAGGAATCTTTTTTAAACTTTCAAGCCTAATCAATTACAAACTCACAATCACTCGTTTCATGCTAAAAGTAAACAATCTCTTTGTACCTTTCCTATTCTTTTTTTACCTTTTTTTTTTTTCTTGGTGAGATGTTGAGGGAGAAGACCTGGTTTCAAAAGCCTACACAGTATGAATCTATGCCACAAAAGCAACCCACAAATATTACACAAGGCTAAGCAGAAACAAGGAAAATCAAGAGTTAGTAAGCCATACAAAACCTCAACAATAAGAAAGAGAAAAACCTTAAAATAGAAAAGAGAAAAAAACAGCGGGAGTAAATTCAGTTTGTCACAGTTACAAGGCCCTAACAACTCCACACTTAGACCAACATTTCCCCTGAATTACATGCCCCCACTGGTTTTACAAAATTGAGAGTGAAGAGAGAGAAATCAAGAGCTCCATGTAGGTTCTTCGCTATGGCTCTATTCGCTTGCTGGTTCTTCTTCAGTCTCTTCTTTTGAAGCAGAAGAGTCAACCTCCTCTGCTGGTTCTTTTGAAGCTGAAGAGTCCACCTCGTCTGTTGGTTTTGCAGGGCCTGGGCCTGCTGATACCTTGACCATGGATGGCCTCAGAAGCCTGTCTCCTAGCTTGAACCCTTTCCGAAATTCTTGGAGTATGATGCTTTCTTCGAACTCTGTTGAGTCCTCACGCATGATAGCCTCATGTAGCTTTTATCAGCAAAAGATTAAATTTTTTTCAGAATGAAATTATGGTAATCTCACAGACAGCGCATGCATGAGAGAGAGAGAGGTGTGTGCATACACATGCATGAGAGATAGGTGTGTGTGAGAGAAAAAGAGATATGTCTCTGTATATGTGAGAAAGAGGGGGTGCATGAGTGTGTGTGAGACAGAGAGAGAGACAGAATGTCTGTGTGAGAGAGATGTGTGCACATGTGAGAGGGGTGTGTGCGCACATGTGTGTGAGAGAGAAAGAGGGGGCGGGGAGAGAGAGAGGTGTGTGAGTGAGAGCCGTGTGTGTGAGACAGAGAGAGAGAGATCTGTGTGAGAGAGAGAGGGTGGGGTGTATGTGTGTGCACATGCACGTGTGAGAGAGAGTGTGTGTCTATGAGTTTGTGTGCACGTATCTATTAGAGAGAGAGAGCGAGAGAGAGGCAGCAGGAGGGTCGGACCCCTCTGATGAAATTACATAGAATACCCACAATTAATCCATTTTGAGAAATGACTGGATACCCAGAAAATGCTTTTACAAGCAAGGAAAAAGAGGAGAGAATGATTATTTAACTTGCAAACACCCAAAACACTTTGAATTGAAGACGGATAAAATTGGCCTCCCCAAAAATTAACCACCCAACAAACGATGAAAATATCCTGAAACTTCTGATCCTGAAAATCAGCAATAACTTTCAACACTAACAAAAATTTATACTCGAGTATGTCAACGTTAAGAGATAGTAGTGTCCTGTCCTTTCTATAATTGTCTGGGTTATTCACCCAAGGGTAACATAGTCATTTATTCTTTTGTAACATATATATTTATTCTTTTCAATGTAAAGGGTGAGGAAGCAATTCCTATGAAGTGGTTTTGTCTTGTTTCTCTCTCTCTCTCTCTCTCTCAAAGTTCCCAATCTAGGGTCTTCAATTCCTAACAGTCAAGAGCAATTGTTAGCAATCTTTCAAAAATTGGAATTCACAAGGTCAAATCCCCATCCTCTGATCCAACTTAGGAAAGTTTGAGTCACAGGGCTGTATTTAACAAAAAGAAACAGATTCTAAGGAAACCAGGGGACTTCTGCAGGTAAGCTCCAATCAGGTTCGACTCACATGAATCCCAAGTAGGACGGACAACTTTTGAAACACTGATTGCTAGAGATCTGATGGGAACTTATACAAAGGGACTTGATTATTGAGCAATGGTCTATCATCATGGGATTCAATGTTCACTTTTCTTTTTATAAAATCATATTTGTTAGGTGGTTCATGTCACCAATGTCCCCATTCAAGATAATGTTGACACAACACTTGACAAACACCAATTCCCTTCTAATAATAAATATATATATATATATATATATATATATAAAAGAAAACACTATGCAAAACCTATAGGCGAAAATGAACAGTGATTTCACCTACTCCCATTACTGTCCAAAATTCATCGCGCAGTCACGATTGTCTAGTAGTGTTTCATTTTTCAATTTTTTTTTTACTGATCGGAATGACATGAAATTTGGAGTGTGTTCATCAAAAATAGGGAAATCTTCGAAAATTATAAAAAAAATATATTTTACATTAAATAAATTGACCAAAATACCCCTGAAAAGTTTCGGGGGTAATTTGGTCAATTTAGTTTTTGCGGATAATTTTTTTTATATTTTATTAGATGCGCCTCAGTAAGATATACATACCCTCCAAATTTCAGGTCATTCCGATCCGTAGAAAAAAAATGAAAAATAAAACACTATCGGACAATCGTGACCGCGCGATGAAATATGGACGGTAATGAAGATAGGCGAAATCACTATTCATTTTCGCCTATAGGTGTTGAAAAGCCTTTTCCATATATATATATATATATAGACATGAGTAATGATCCTATGAGACCCTCCTACACCCATGTGTATAGGACTTCAAAGGATCACCATTAAATTTGGTACAGATCTCTAAAAAAGTTGTCTCACACTTATGTGATAACTTTTATAGAGATCTGTGCCAAATTTAATGGTGATCCATTGGAGTCTTACACATATGGGTGTAGGCGGGTCTCATAGGATCATTACTCTATATACATATATATAAAAGTAAAAAACTCAGAAATTCAACTTAACTAAGAAAATACATCAACTAAAGCCCAAATTGATGCTTTAGCATTTCGGGGAGCTAACTTTAGAGAAGCAACTACGATTCAAAAATAATTTGGGGGTGTTCAAGTGAAACAAACCCAATAACATACCATTACGAAAAAAATGGAGCAAACATCTTAGAGAGCAGATCAGTGTCGGGCTTAAACTCGCTCAGGTAGTATTACCCTGAAACAGATTATAAAAAAAGAAGAGACAGAAAACACTAAAATGACTAGGAAAGGAGAACTTACCAATGGGTCAAACGGATTTCCAACTGTATCCACGCCAACAACACCCAACGACACCATAATCTCAACGAACTGTTTATATATGCTTTGATAGCTATTATTTATCTTCTCTTCTCCCTCCGTCTCCACCTTAATTTGAGCCTTGGCTCTCTCAAAGTTATCCAATATAGGCAAAAGGTTCTCTATCACTTCCCCTTGGGCATTGGAAACTAGAGAGAGACGTTCTCTCTCTGTTCGCTTCCTGAAATTATCAAAGTCTGCACTGATCCTAAGAACCCGGTCTCTCTCAGAAGATAGTTCTTCAGACAAAGCTGCCACTTTGTTTGAGAGAGAATTCTTCTCAACTTCAATGGATTGAAGAAATTTTTCTATCTCCACCAATGTGGACTCATCATTATTTGCTAGAGCTTCTCTATAGGACTCGAGTGATGCCTTTACAGCTGATACAGGCAATTCCTCCCCATCAATGGAATCGGGTTTAACAGTTTCAGCTTCCACTGGGGCTTCATCTTCTGTTGTTTCCTGCTGTATATCTCTAGGTTAGTATCCACAGCTAGAGAGAGAAAAGGCAAAAATGGTAATTTGATGAGATGAGTTCTTCATTAGTGGCTCAGCGCCCGCCACACAGTTACTTACAGAAAGAAAAACACGCCTACATAATATTTTGGAAAATTTCATAGAGACCCCCAATTTTCATGCATGTAAGTTACCACCACACATACTGAAGATGACTAAACAAAAATAATACAACCCAAATACTATCCTGAAGTTAAGTTAGGCAGGAAGTTTATATCCTGCTTCTTTATCAAATATCAAGTAAAAATAATAAGAAGACACCACATTTCAAAAGAAAAAAAAATATATAAAAGAAGACAGTTTCTTTGATAAAGATGTCAAGTCCAGCCATCAACTAACAAATAAATCTTCAGTTGATCACCATACTATGAGCACAACCAAATAATGAATAAATTTAAGTTAATCTCTACATGCTTGGTACTGTCATGAAACACTAGGTTCACCAACAAGCCAATAATGTTTCCATATCAACCTATAAGAAGTGATCAATGCCTTAAAGCAATCCCTATTATTCATATAACTCTTGAAAGGGAAGTCAACCTGTAGGCCCCACTTGGATGATCTGAGAACTCCAATCAAAACAATTGGGCATTTCATGGTATTTTCGTAACAAGAGGGGGATAGAAAGGGCCCACACCCGTAAATAGCAGTGTACCAAGCTGTTTCTTTCTATGCTCCTAAAGGGACCAATTTGGACATTTTGTTAATAAATGGTCCATCTAAATGGGACCCTAGCTAAATTGAGTATTTGATTTTCAAGCCACCATAATTCTGAGATCCTTCTCTCTTTTCGTAATATGCATCGTCTTTTTAACTACTGTTATTACCTATTATTACATGGATCAAATGCAGTTTCAATAATTAGAAAAAAATGTCTAAGAAATTGAAATCAAAATAAGCATATAAATCCATAGCTGAAGTAACCGAAAGAGGGAAAGAAGCAATAGATCAATATTTATAATTGGCCAAAAACTACAATGAATAGCTAGCTAATAAAAAAGCCAAGTAAAAGAATTATTAACAAAACAACATTGGAAACTACAACAAACTGAATCTAAAGAGAGAGAAAAAAAGAAGTAGCAGGCATGGTCGAAGAAGATGTAACCCTGAGTGCTTGCAATCATTCAAAGGTTTCAAGAACCAGAGTCACATTGCTGACAAAAAAAACAAAACCATGAAACACAACGGTAAAAGATCAAAAATAATTTTGCATATTGGCTAATTATTATCAAATATTAATTGAGAAAGGAGGGGATTTGGGAAGCAGAAATACAATAATTCTCTTCATGCAAAATAATGTGAACAGTTTGATTGACATATTCAAGAATTTCCCTGGATGATAGTAAATGTCATTCCACGTTATTCATTAAAACAGCAGTATGAGACAATCATGTCCAGTGACAAGCATTATGCATCATGTCAAGGACAAGCCCTAACAAGACTTGGTCCTAGAGTGCCACTCCATATGGGGTTTAACATGCCCAGCTTTTCTCAACATAATTAGAAGCATCAAGCATGATTAACCTTTGATTTATTTCATCATCATCAAGGCCTTTTCCCAACTAATTGTGGTCGGCTACATGAAACCTGGTCCTCCATCCTGCTCTCTTAAGAGCTATACCCTCGCTAAGGCCATAAGTCCCAACATCTTTTCTCATTACTTTCAACCATGTCCTTTTGGGCCTACCTTTGCCCTTTCTGAGCCCCACTTGAACTAACTCGCACCTTCTCACAAGTGTACTGGGTCTAAGCCACACATGGCCAGCCCATTTTCTCTCAGCTTATCACCTATCGATGCCACATCTAAATTCTTCCGAATGTACTCATTTCGAATTCTATCACTTCTAGTCTTTATACTCATCCATTTCAACCTCCTCATCTTAGCTACACTGATTCTATGGATATGTTGTTTCTTGACAGCCCAATATTCTGCCCCATAAAATAAAGGTAGTCTCACAGTTGTTCTATTGTACTTGCCTTTCAACTTCATTGGTATGTGGTCGGTTGCACATCTCTACTTCGTGTACCCAACTCTAATTCTATGTGTGGCATCTTCCTCAATCTCTCGACCCAATATATCGAAAGTGCATTCCTTTTTTATATTTCTTGGTCGTCAATGTTAAATACTTCCTCGTCTCTACTCCTATTATTACTAAACTTGCATTACATATACTCTGTCTTCGTTCGGCTAATTTTAAAACCTTTAGATTCTAGAGCACCTCTCCAAAGTTCTAACGTTGTGTTGACGTTGTTTCGAGTTTCATCGATCAAAACTATGTCATTCAAGAATAACATGCACCACGGTTCCTCATCTTGTAGGTGTCTAGTTAAGTCATTATGTCATCCATAACTAAGACAAAAGGGTATAGCCTCTATGCTGCCCCTAATATAGACCTATTGTCTTTGAAACCTCACTCATCCATAACATTTGATTTTATATATGAAGGTGAAAGTATTATGCTCGTCAAATCAGACTCCCATAAGAATCATAGGTGGTATTCTTCACATGCTGATCAACAAATGCCTGGTTCACATTGTAACTACTTGAAATTTAGATGTATTAATGTTGCTTCCTAAAGGATTTTTAGGAATCCAATCAACCACCAGTTTTCATTACAGTAAAGGTACTTCTATAAGTTATTGGAATGCTATAGACATGATAAAGATTTTAAAATGAAGCATGCACACCCTGATACAAAACTAAGCAACTCATGCCACATTTCTCAAAACTATTGACTGCAAAGTTTCCAAACACTAAGGCTTGCATGTCACTGATTGCTCACAACCATCCCATAGAAATCCACCCTAAATGAGTTTTTATGTATACACACATCTCTACTGCCATACTGCTTATTTCTACACATAATTAATATTGTTTCTTCTCTTCAAAATCTTGGTCATAATGCATCTGCTAACTAAATTACTTCTGCAAATCCAAAGTATCCCCATTCAGAACTGAGTCTTTGTGAACAAAAACTTTTAAAAACCAACAAATATGACTGACTGCTTACAAAAATACCACTACTTGCATAGGTGGGGAGTTTTATCCCGACATTATCAGAAGGCTTCTTTCTATGGCAACTCTACCGCATTTTTTTTTGAGAATGTTAAATGTTATGTATATGAGTAAACAAGTATAGAATACAATGATAACGAAAAAGAGAGAGAAAAGGGGGAGAGTGGCTATCCGCACTTGGATAGCTCAGAGTACAATGAGCCCTTCTAGGGAAAAAAAAAGGGGGGGGGGAGGGGGGAGGGGGGAGGAGAGAACAGAATCCGAAAGCCTTCTTTTTAAAGGTTACATTGAAAAATCAGAGCAACTCTACCGCATTTTAATATTTTAAATCAATATCAATTTTAATTTATCAGTTTTTTTTTTTTTGAAATGTTAACATTTGAATTGCATTAGAGAAGTTGGGGTACAGATTGTGATAGTCCGAGAAAGCCCTCTAGAGGAGTCTCTCGGTACAAAAATGGTCAGTAGACCCTATACAAAATGTGGGCCTATAAACCTGCCCAATTACAAAGGATTTACAATAAGTTCACAAAAAGAATAAGGGGATTATAAAGTTGCTCGAATACAATGAGATGTTCTACGTAGTGTGTCTTATGTGGTCCTGATCAAAAAAGGAGAAGGACCATGCGCTATCTTCTTCTTGGCTCCTAACCCCGTCTTTCGCTAGAAGATCGGCAAACTCGTTGCATGTCCTCCATATATGCTTCCATGAGACGTGCGTATCCCTGCAGATATAGGCAATTTCATCAAAGATCGAAGCTAGGTACCATGGGGGTGGTGTCGTCCCAGTTCCTAGGCTAAAATGTTATGTGCGTCTCCTTCCACTAACGGGTTTGAGCCCCAGGAATCATTGAAGCTTTTGAGTCATATTAGCAGGATAATAGCTTCAACATATTAAGAATATCTATGGTCTAGATGTTCAAAGTAGGTAAAGAGGATGTTGTGATGGTGGTCTCTAAAGACACCACCAGCTCCTGCAGGGGCCGGGATTCCCCAGGGAACAGCCATCGAAGTTGAGCTTGATTGTGCCCTCTGGAGGTGGCAGCCAATTGCTTCGTCTTTGCACCTTTCGTGGAGTGGTAGAGTATGTTTTCCCATTGGCTGAGAAAAGTATTCGCTGAAAGGCCTAAGAACACATTGCGGTTGGATGGCCAGAATGTTACTAGAGTAGTAACCTTGTGGAGTAGGGCCGGTACCTGGAGCTTGTGTCCTTGAAATATTCTGGTATTCCTTTCTACCCATATCACCCATATGGATGCAGCAATGGCTGCCTTCCATAAGGTTCTTCTGGCCTTCGGCCAAAGTGACGCCTGTTCCATGGTAATTAGGGCCTTGACTGTCGGTGGAGTAACCCATTGGAGACAAAACAGCTGCAACAGTTAACTCCAAAGGTTGTGGGCTACCTCGCAGTGGATGAAGAGGTGTGAATTCGATTCCTCCTCCTTGAAATACATGGCGCATCTATTGGGGATTGGAATCCCTCTCTTCTGAAGCTGGTCCACTGTCAGTGCCCATTGAGAACAAGCAATCCAGTTGAAAGTCTGAACTTTGGGGGGGGGCAATTGTGGACCAGACCTTGGAAAGGACAGAGGTAGGATTTAGGGGGTAAGTGGGGGTTGGATGAGTCTTTTGTAAAACGAGACCACCGTGAATGTACCGGAGGGGGTTAGCATCCAAATCATAGAATCCCTCCCTTCAGAAGAGATGAAGGTCGAATGTAAAACTACCGAGAGTGACAAGAAGAGGCTAGTTTCCTCGTCTGAGAGGTTTCTTCTGATATGTATATCATTTTAAGTAAGTTACCAACACTTATCAAAATTGGAAGGACATATTACAGTTAATGTAAGTTATCTATCGTCATCATCATCAACATCCGAACCTTGTCCCAATTCCCAACTAATACATGTAATGTAAGTTATCTATACTTGTAAAA